TTCACTCTGTCAAAGTAAGCGTGGAGAAAATTAAGTACAGAGCACAAGTCCCTCAGGAGAACTTAAAAGGTAAGTTTATATAATGGGAAGGGGGTGAAAGAGAAAGGGGAGTTTTCTGCTCACATTCAGCTGATAAGTACATTTGAAACTAAGGATGGTCTTATAAACTTTTTTGCAATTAACAAGTTTAGCTTTTTATGTTAGTGGTAGGTATGCAAGAATGAGGCAAATCTGAATAATAGACCCATTAATTGTCTTTTTACTAGTCCTGGGACTAGTCAGTCACCTAAAAAATTTAAGACTTGGGATATCCAAGTATTAGAGATTGAGTAATCAGTACCTCTACACACTTCTGCATGGGTTACATTGGTCTCACCAGAGGCTGAGACAAAGCAGCTGAAGCTACTGCAGTTAAATTATGCCTTCACTGCGCTGCTTCCCAAACAGACTAAATTAAGAAACCATACTTAAGATGTCTGTTCTATAAATATCTCTGTTTTCATTTAAATGCACATGTAGCCCATTTCAAATATCTCATGTGACAAATTGTTTAATTGAAATATGCACGGAACAGGTCAAAGAAAGAATACCAGTCTCCAAAGAGGAAAGAAGTCAGACAGGGAAACCTTCCTGAATTTTACCATTTTTACCATTTCTTTTTTTCTGTGCAAGTGAGTATGTAACAGAATTAAGTATCTTGATTACATTTTGTATTGGAACTGTCTCTATTGTTTGATATGGTGCAAAACTGTAAAGAAAAAAATAAAGGGGGGACCTGTTCCCTAATCTAGTAGCGTATCACACAGCCAGTTGTATCTGCACAAGAAGGCAGAGGAGGAAAAAAAAAAAGTAAATCACAGGAGCAGGCAAGACTACCTTAATAGAACATCTTATTTTCAGTTAATTACAGGTTTATATGGTTTTTTTCTGAGGCCCAGTAGACTGCAGTAAGTGTCTAGTGGATGCACTCAGTCCCAGATGAAAAGACATACTGGTTAAACCTCAAAGGACATTTCTCCCCCCCCGCCATTCTAATAAGGTAAAGAAATTGCAACTCCTGAGATTTTTTAAGTACTAACTACTAATTTATTTGGAACCATTTCCAAAGAACAGCAGAGGACAGCTTCAGCAAAGAAAGCAGATTTTTCTGAGACAAAACTGCAACATTACGATTTAATGGAAAAAAAAAAAAGGAAGGCTAAACTCTTTATGCTTAGAGTGACACAAGAGAGATCTCATTTCCTTTCTTAAAAATATCTGCTAGTGCAAGGGTCTGAACTGAGTACGCTAGAGGATGCAAGTAAAAACAGAGGTCAATACTCTGTGTCAAACTTCCACCAACTTCCTTACCAGAACTTGTAAAACAAAGTTCAGCATAACACCTTGAGCCCTACAAATTGTAGGCAGTTGGGATTTCTTTTAAGCTAGGCATTTACCCAGATTCTTCTATTGAAAGAATAATTCTTCTAGTTAAAGTGAGCCAGGAAACCAAATTTAGTTGCCCTTCTGTTTTTTGGGGGGCAGGGAAAATTGGGGAACTTTACGTTAGTAAGCCTTTAAGGAAAAACAGGAACTTTCCAGTAAGATAATGTAGACAAGATAGACAAGCATCTTGCGAATAGCAGACTCATGCAGCAGTGCTGTTAGCCAAGATGTGAAGCAACAATAACCGCCCGAGCCAAAAAATGTCTCATCTTTTGGAGGAACCTTTAGCCTTTAGATCTGATATCTAGATCTTTGCTTGCCTAACTGTATTATTTGATAAGAAAACTGCTTCCAACCATGAGGGATGACCCTGAACAGAAGAGGTAGAAAGCATAACCGAGTACCCAGCAATCTGGCAGACACCCCAGCACTGCAGGATCTGGGCATCAGCTGGAGCAATCCTTATCACAAAAGGTGTAAGGTCAGAATGCAATGTGGCTGAAGGTCATCTTAAAAGAGAGACCAATGCACAGCCAAAATGGGAGAAAAGAACATCAGCGGGTAGTACCAAGTCCAATCCTGAGAAGACACTCGGCATTAAGAAACCTTTTACAGCCTTCTGCCCTAAGCAATAACAAGGATTTAAGCTAATGGAGCAACTCTGCTTTTTACTAAGTCTAATAGTTACTGCAAAGGGGGCGAGGGAAATCAATTAATTTATATACATATCACCCTCACTGAGTGGCTGCACTTTTTGATCTTATTATCTTTGGTGTTTCAGTAGTTTTAAGCTTCCACATACCATGCCTGTCAGTAGCAGAGCATTATTATTACCTTTCCCTCTGGTCTCTGTGTATGCGTCTAGATAAAATAACCCTTTCATTTAAGGCACAGCAGGACTACCGCCGCTACCTCAAAATATTCCTAAACATGCCTAAGAAAGTAGCAAAATAAGGTGTTTAAATGGAAATGTTAAACATCTTCCACAAACCACATTCACCTGTGTTGGTAAGTACTGTTGAAGTCACCTGCACAGGACATTTTTCAACTCCAGCCTGTTATCTATGGTTCACACATAGTCCTTTAAGTACCAAATTTCTCAACTGTTTCACCTCTCAGTCACAACTGCAGATATTGTCTCAACTCCTGAAGTCTCCTTTGAAATGAAAGGAAATCTTATTTCTTTAACAAGGAGGAAAGGACAAGGGCAGAAAGCTACATGGCTCTTTTTCACATCGATTCACATAGCTTTCACAGAATGGTAAAAAGAATACAAAGTGTATTTTATTTCATTTTCATAACATGGTTCTGTTTTCCACCTTATAGAAGAAACACTGAATTCTCCAGTATCATTTAAGATAGGCTTGTGCTTTATAATATTGTTTTTTCTTCACTGAAAGCCTTCCTTGAAATTTATTCAAGTTTTGTGAGTTTTTTTTTGTTTTTTATAAACAAACTGCTTTATAACTACAATGAAATAAACAAACAAAAATATACCAAAGCACACAGCCTTTCATTCTCTGCCTAGAGCAGATAAATGTACATTTCGTTTTATTTACTTTCCTGCCTTTTGCCCCTTCTGAAAGAAAACAAGATTTCCTTGATTTTGTATCAAAATTTTAGATCCCTCAAGCAGTAGATAAAACAGCAGAAACATTCAACAATTACATTCAATATGTGAACCATCAGCAGGAGAGTAAAGTAGAAGATGGTGCTGGATAGACCAAAAAATTACTAGTGTTTCTCATCTACTTAGAAGTTCAACAGTAAACTAAAAACAATGGGGAGAAAGAAACATCAAGCACAATAAACAAGTGGTAAGTTAAACCCCGGTAAGTCTCTAGATAAATTTGCCCACTACAAGCCCCTACAAGGCTTTCCATTTGCTGTGTAGTTCACAGAGCAGGGAAAAGACAGCTCTTTAAGACCTGGGGACTTACAAGCCTCAAAAAAAGGCGGACTCTCAAAAGCCAATTCTCACCACAGCCCAGTTCTTAGCACTTCTAAAGGAATGGGTAGGGCAGTTAAAACAGGTGTCTGTTCTGAGAAAAAGTGCCCATCCAAATTATTCTGCTTTGTTTCGGGCCAAGACATATACCAAAGCACATCATAAGGTCCTACTAAGACTGTTTTGGTAAGATAGTTTTCTTTCACTGATCCAAATAGCTTGCAAAACAGATTACTCTGTAAGCATAGTTAAGGCTAGACTTTATCCTTGCTTTCCCTCTCTATTTACAAAATTACAGAGAAGTCCACCAACATGCAAGAAGAAAAATACTCTGCATGTATAAATATAAACTCACTCTAACATCTGTTCAAAAAACATTTATTCCTTCTGTCTTTCTCCTTTTATATGCCCCTCCTATATTCCCCTTCAAATAAGGGATAGTCTTTTATTTCAGCATGCCTTCCTTCAGACATGACAGGACATGAAGACCCTTCCTTCCACATCTGTAAGTCAGTAATTCTATCTGCCTTTTACAGTGGGAAGCATCAGGAATAAGAGAGCTTTTTTTTTTCTTTCCCAAAGCTAAGCAAGTCATTTATTAAATCCCCAACTTCTCCAAGATAAAACACACAAAAAGATTAACAGGAATTCACTTGTCTATGGAACAGAGAAAGAGGTAAGTTTTTCCCCTCTCTTTGCACACCCACACCTGTATTCTGAGAAATCCAATGCAATTTTTTACTTCCCCAAGTGGCCACCTCACTATTCTTTCTGAATGCTTAGATCAGAAGGTTGAAGGTGTGCAGTTTGCTTTACTACACTGGTATAGTCTTCACAACACTGTTTTAAAGATCACAAAGTAAATCTAGCCATAATCATTCTGAACCTGTCTATCACTATGGGTCTGGTTCCTACATTCAAGGTCTGTAGGTTGCACTTAGTCTAACCAGATGAGCAAACATCTGCTTCCCTTCTCAGCTTTCCTTGGTTTCACTGGCAATGCCTCCACCACCACTACACTCACCAGCACTTCTCAGGAACACCTTCCTGCCATTTATCAAGGTTTTCCACTGCATAATTATAAGTGCACCTGACACACAGTAGCCAAGGGCCATTCAGAATTCAGTAAACTCTTAACTTATGGTCACTCTAGGTAACAATTTATGATTTGCCTTGGGAGTCAGCTAAGTCAAAGTGCTCTGAATTTGCAATCCAGCTTTATTTCAGAGAACAAAGTTACCAGCTAATCTTCAAGACCAAAAGACTTCCACCATCCCCCCTGTGGCTTAGAAAATAATCTGTTATTATTCTAATGTGTTTGGTTCTTTGGTTTTGTGTTTTGTGTGTAGTTTGTTGTTGCTTTTTTTTTTTTCCTTAAAACCCTATGCAATACCTCCGTATGTATTGAAGGAAGAGGATGAACACATGCAAAGATTTACTTCCATTCACGTATTTTACAGGCTTCTGACTGATTGTTTGGTAAATTGAACCATCCTATAGCTTTCCACCCATCCCCCAAAAATCTCCTCAGCTATTCTTCCCCACCCACCCAGCACCATGCTACCCAGCTGTACTCCTTTGCTGCTAGTAGTAATAGCTGTAGAATCAGAAGTGAGGAGGGACTTACGCTGGTCACTCGACGGTAGATCTGCGCAGCATTTTGGCACTCGGAATAAGGATACTCAGACGTGGCCATCTCTAGCATACACATCCCAAAAGCATATACATCAACGGATTCATCATATTTCTCCTCATACATCTCGGGGGCCATGAACTCTGGGGTACCTTAAATTAAAAGAACGATTCAGACTCTAAATGTCTCAAAGCGAGCAGAGGCTGCTGGCGTTACTCACCGCAGGAGGAAGCGGATGGGCAGACCTGTGAGACAAGAGAAAGTGGAGGCAAAAAGAAGAGGGAGGAAACCCTTAGTCACTGTTGCATCAACGTACTTTGTGAGTCTTCCATTGCAAGGCCTTTATGAAATAAGAATGGCACGAAAAGGACTGATGCAACTCCTCGTTTATGCTTGTTAGTTAATACAAGTATCCAAACAGACTGGGTCAGGCTGGAATCAAATGGAGAGGAGGGGATAAAAGCAGGGAACTGTAGACTAGCCACAGGCTGCAAACCAAATACTAAGGAGGGTTAAGACACTTACCTTTTCTCCCTGTAAGAAAGAAGGTACATTAAACCTTGTTCCAAAAAATTACCTGACTGCCCTCTGCTGCAAAAGAAGTAGTATTGGTAAGAGCCCACAGCTAGTCTCTGACCTGGTGCTCTCCATCTACTTGTTGAAGTAGAATGGTTCAGGAAAAGCCTTGCAATGAAAAACTCTGTTGTTGCAATTATAAATCTCCATGAAAAAAGGATAAAAAGTAATTTTCTGCAAAGGCCACTCACCAGAGCCCTTTTCTTCATATACTTACCATCCCACCTGCAGTATATTTATAGGCCTACTGCAGATACAGGCATTAGTGAGGGACATCCTACAGTCAAAAATACTCAGAAATACAGAGAGATTGAGTTACAGGCATAGAGCGTGAGATTCAACAAGTCCCATTTAAATAGTGTGCAGAAAATTATTGCTCAGTGAAGCATCACAGCGTCCCCTCTGTAAGCAAAGGGTCCACATCGTATGATCAGATTTACTTTAAGCCAGAGATGCAAGTTTGCTTTTTGTAAATTTAAGCACAGAACTATTTCCTGCAAACACCACATTCGAGACAGTTTACAGATCATTCTAGAGCCACATTGCTTGTTTTCATCACACTAAACCAAAAAAAGAGGATGCAATTGCACTCATTTATCCAATGGCTAACCGTTAACAGATAGCTTGATATGAAATAGTAATTTTCCAATGATAAATTTGAGCATAAGTAGTGCATGTGTAAGAAAATATATTTGTGATATGGTATACTTTTCTTGCCTATTAATACTTTGACTTTGTTATGTAGCAGGAAATATTTCAGCCACAGCTTGCAAGATAATTTCCCGGTATATATACCATTGATCCCATCTAGGAATCTAGCATAGGACTGTTGAGTAATACTGCATTTTAGCAAGCTCTAAACACTGAGAGTGAGAGCAACTTCATTCCCTGTAGCCTATTCACCCAACTATAAAAACAGAGCTGATAAAACCAATTATTTAAAGAATTCACAAAAAAGACTACACAAGTTCCATCAAACCAATTTAGGAAAAAGGTCATTAGTGGATACATAACAACAGAGCCAAGTACAAGGCAATACTTCCCCGATGCACCCTCCTAACTTACATAAAAATCCACATTCTATACACTCCCTAAGGCATTATACCACAGTCTGACTGTGATATAAAAGATATATACTGACTTTCTTTAGTTTGTTTACTCAAAGTGCAAGAGATTTAATAGTAACCCCTGCTAACAAAAAAAAAAAAAATTGGCTGTATAAATTAATGCTAGGCTATATATCAAAATGGTGTTTGGTCACCAAAAGGCATTTCTTGAAGCATCATATTAAAGCTGGTATTTATATGTAAGTCAAGAGCGGTTTTATCAACAATGTTGCACTAAACTGTTGGGTAGGGCAATGAATCTATATTCCAAAATACTTAATGTTAATAGACAAATTTCAAAAGTACAACAAAATCTTCAACATGTGATCTCATCAAGAACACAGAATGACCTCAACAGCCAAGAAACAAAGCCTACATGTTTCCAGGCTTTGACCACGTAACCTTTGAAACCATATTTTATAAGAAAGCTCGTGAAAGATTCAAGTTTCTGAGCAGGTAGACTGGCTCACCAGCCTCCAAAACAGAAGAGGCTTACCTATCACACTTTTGGCAAAAGAAGCTCGTTTCAGGGTTGCCAGACCGAGGTCTCCAATCTTGACTGATCCAGTGGGGCCAGTAATAAAGATGTTATCACATTTTAAGTCTCTATGAATGATGGGAGGGGTGCGCGTGTGTAGAAATTGCAAGCCTTTCAGTATCTGACGGCACCAGCTTCGCAGTACTTTAATTTTCATCACTTTAAATCTTTTCAAATACCTAATGGAAAAAGTAACAGAAGTTTAAACAGGTTCTGCTAACAAGTAGTAGATTATGCTGTATCATTTGCTGTTCTGAAGTAAGAAAGCAACAATTAAAGAGAAGCACAAATTTCAACTTCACCTTCTAATTTAGAATCTACTTGGGCATTTTAAGACTTCAGAGGAGCTGAAGATGGTTTCCCCTCCTAAAACTTAAGCTGTCCTACTCAGGATTTCTACCCCCTTTCCTCTAGCCAAGGGACTATACTGCTCAAAGAGCAATGTAAAATGCTTGATCTATAGCTACTAACTCATTTGCATACCAAGTCACCTTATGGTAATTTGGCAGTTGCCTTGCTAAGTTTCCAGGCCCTGCTTCCCTGACAAAGAGTTAAAACCTTATGCATTGCAACAATCTTGTATCTATTCATTTAAGATGGTTTTTTTCTTACCTACCTTTTATTCTCAAACTGCTTAAATAGTTATAACCTTTTCATTAATTAAATGTAACTGGGAGGGAAGGTGGGGCACTAGAGATGAAAAGCTAACAACCATCAAGCAAGTACAGAGTTGTTGCAAACTATGCAAGAGCTCTGAAGTCGTTATCCCGTAGTTATCAATTAGTCCAAGCACTCTGGTCAAGGATTCCAGGTTACACTTTAAACCTGCTTCAAATTTACTTGAGTTGTCACGCAAATCAGAATTCTTAGACATCACTTCCCTGGTGTAGGATGGGGTTTGGTGACCGGAGTCTGACTGGTACTACTCACTACTTCAAAAGCATGGACAGGTATGGACAGGGCAGGGAATTCTTTAAAAAGCTCTGCCAAATAATTGACCTATGACAGGATTTGATTGCTTTTCCAGCAGTGTATTCTATTCTCACAACCCCTCTTTGGGCAAAACAATTTGAATTCAACTGCTGTTGTTTTCTTCCTTTTAAAAAAGTATAGGCTAAAATACATTGAGAGAAAAGAACTAGGATGGTTTGAAGACCAAGGACTCTTATCTTATACAGCTAATGTTACTCAGATAAAGACCAGTTTCATACAACCACAAGACTGGTTGTAAATTCTGTGATCACCATGGAGTCTAACAACTACAATCTTAAAAAAAAACCAACTCATGTTCTGTGGTAATGTGCAGTCTCTTTTGCATACCCACTTAATCACGAGAAAAAGTCTTGATGAAGTCACTTGAATCAATGCCAATATAAAAATGCAGTATATTAATCCCTTTTACTTTAATTTCTCCAGTTCAAAAGAAGATCTGGAAAATCAAGCTGTTAGCAATAATCCTGCTGTGAAAACAAATCTGTAAAAGCAATTGGGACCCAGTTCCAGAAAGAAATCAAGTCTCAAAACAGAATGTAAAGACAGGCAGGGAAAAAGCCAAGCCAAGGAAGGAGACAAACTGAAGGAGGTTCTGGATCACATCAGCTACCACTTGAATTCTTGCTATTGACAGAGCCCTCATTCATCTCTCTTGTGCCTGTTCCAAAGATCACATGGTAGGGGCACTTCAGTTCAGCATCTGGAATCCCTAATTACATTCTTGGTTTGAAATATGCTAGTGTACTGCCAGCTTCTCACTGTTAAAGGATCTGGGTCCAACCATCACCCAGCAGTGATGCTGTCATTTTTCCATAACACTGTCGTGAACTAAATCACATGTCACTTAAAGCAGAAACCATTTTAAAATGGAAGCATATATAAATGCATAAAAATACACAGACAACCCTACCAGCCAGTATGTTTTCAGTTTTCCTAGTATCACAGGGTAACTCAGGCTTGAAGACACGTCAGGAGGTTTCTAGTTTAAGTTTCTGCTCAAGGTAGGGTCAGCCATGAAGTCAGTCACAGTTACTCTGGGCTGTATCTAGCCAGGTTTCTAGTGTCTCCAAGGACAGAACCCTCCAACATCTTGGGGCAACCTGTTCCACTGATTATCACTTCTGAAATAGCTCCTCCTTGTATCAACCTGAACCTCTTTTGTTTCAGTTTATGTCTGTTGTCTCTAATCCTCCCATCACACACCACTGCAAAGGGCCTGAGTGACTCCCTCATATGTCCTGGAAGACTGCTGTTAGGTCTCCTCTAAAAGATCCTCTTCTTCAGGATGACCAAGTCCAGCTCCCTCAGCCTCTCCTCACAGAGCAGGTACTCTGACCATCCTGGTGGCCCTCCATTAAACTTGTTCCTGTTGTTTGTCTTGGTTGGGTTTTTTTGCAGGAAGGCTACTGACCTGTAGCATCTCAGCTCAAGGAGCCATAGGAAACCCTACTAAGTTAGCAGAGGTAGTTATGAGGGCATGTGTCCTACCAGACAGCTGACATGGATTTAAAATGGATCACAAACACACACTACAGCAGCTTCAGACAAAACTAGTGCCTGAGACCTAGGTCAGATTAAAAATTGCTGAGTTCTTTAATAATATAATTAAAACTTAAAGCAGACAGCTCCATTTTTCCCCAATATTTTAATTCCATGAGAGCATACAATATCAGAAAGCAGTTTAATTCCTTACAGCACTTGAGTTTTAAAACTTCCATTTATATGCAGAAGTTCAGGGACTTTTCTTCATGCAAAATTAGAAATTTGCCCAGACAGCATTTGAAAATAATGATTCCACAATATTCTAACATTATTTATGTGTATGTATATCTAAATGTATACAAATACATAAAAAGGAGGACATTTTAATTTATGACCAAACTTTTCTACTGTTCACTCTTTTTCCACATCAAGTGACAACAATGTCTATGTCCCGAAGTCTCAAAACAAGGAAGGTATCACTTGTATTAAATGCAGGTAATGTAAACATACTGAAAAAAGATATGGAAGTAATACTCAGTCAGCCAGGTATCAGAAGCAAACAGAAGCATGCAGTGTAAATCTAGGAACGACACAGGTACATGAAAAATTTACTGATATTAAATTTGTCAAACCAGGAATTTCTCATATAGTTTACTTGTCAAGTCTCAAGTGAAGTGGACAAGAACAAACTAAGCCACAATTATAACACAAACTATACAACGTAGGGGAAAAAAAAAAACTCAGGAGCCTACAGTTTAAAAGATCTTCAATTAAAGAGTCTATTATTTCTTTCTAACTAAAATAAAAAGAAAAAGACCTTCATACTTAAGAGTACAAAATAATCCTACAGCTGGCAAATCTCAGGTACTTCTTCCTATCAGCTCCCTACTTAATAACTTTCTGTTATTACTTATCTTGCTTGTGCCACCATATAACAAGCCAATCCAAATATTAAAATCTGTGAGGGGGGAAAGGAGTAAGAAAAAAAAAGTTAAATACAACACTACATAGCCTAGTATAAACTTAGGTAACTTTAAGGGCATCTGTATAGAGCTGTAAAACTTTTACTTTAATACTGCTCTGAAAAAGCACTTGACCTTATTTACAGTATTTTAGCTGAAATACCTTAAACAACCTCAGAAAAATCCTCCCTGAACATATGGCTAAAAACTAAGTTGCAGTGCCCTCCAGTACTATTTCAAGAGACAAATACTTCCCTGTAATTTCAGCACAGACTCCCAAAGAGCCATTTTTTCCTTCTTTAAGTATGTCCATTTGTGGCTATCAATAAGCATCGTAAAAACACAAGACATTCATAGGCTATTTTAACCAAATAGATTGCAAATTGTTTCCAGCTCCTACAGCCTGCTTACACATTTCGGATTTAAATGCCTCTCCAAGACTTAAATAGGCACTGAATTAAGAGAACGACCCACAACCCCATGCATTTCAAATGCCGGCAGTTTTATTTCCAGGCGATTAATGGTGACTGGGTGCTCGCAAACAAGCTCGCAGCTCTGCGAGTTTCTGCAGTGCAAGACAAAGGCGTGATTTCAGTAGAATTTCTCACAGGCTCACTGTACCACTAGAGGGCCCTCTCGGCAGCTGGATTTGCTGGTGCCCACTTTTAACTTTGGCTTAAAAATAGACCTAATTTCACTCAGCTACTTCACAGGTTGAAATTGCAGGCGTCTGCAGAGTTTTCTCTTAGGCACTGCTTCATGAAGTTTCAGCTAAACAAACAGGCGGCGGTGGGTTTTTTTTAAATATATTATTTGTACTGTAGTAATAGCAAGCTGAGGTGAATTAATTCCCGTTTTGAACTTTACAAACCCACTCGTGCTAAATGGAAGGCAGCTGGAGAGGAAAATGAAAACCTGCAAGAAGTGAAAATAGAGCATTGTATTCCTGAGCTCACAAAATCTGCAAGTTTTCTGCATGTGCTTACTAGGACACTGCAAGAAAGATTATGACAAGCTTGCTAACTTCAAGGATGTTCTACCATTCCCTGCAGCACCAGCAAGACTCCTCTTAAACAAGAGCTTCCCTCCAGAAGTTTAGCCCTCAGCAAAAGGGCTCTGTTCTAATCTATTCTGAAATATGATCTATTTCTAGTGCTCTGATTTTGTACGAATGATTCTTATATGCTTTGACATGCCTTAATTTACTTACGTTTTCAATGTTCCAGATGTCATGAGTTCCGTTACCAGAACGATACACTTTTTTCCTTTGACTGTAGACTCCCAGGAATCATAGAACCTGACAATATTGGGATGCTGAAGCCCTTTCAGCATCCCAGCTTCCTCTTTAAATCTTTGTCGCTCTGACTTGGACAGCTTCCGATCCTAATGAAAAAGAAAAGGTAGGTGAGAAAGCTTCGCTTTATTTCTTACTCAGAGAAGCAGCAACTTGAGAAACAGCTGGGTACAGTCAGTGAACAAGGAAGAATCAGTATTCTTAAATGCCATTTTGTTTGCAATTACCCTTAAATACACAATTTAGAAGACATTCTATTACAGTCTTTATCATATATTTTTCCTTACAAATCTGCTTTTGAGGTAAGAACTGTGAGTCCGTAAATTATCTGCTCTTCCTTTTTCCTCCTCCTCTAATAAATTTGGTCATTGCCTGACTTGAGGTGGATGGGAGACAATGTCCTCAAATATAAGCTTTCAAGAGTAGACAAAATTGGATCATTTAATGCAACTCTCTCAGATTGTACAGAATAATAATCTTTAGTTATTCCTACATGTATAATATCCACACCACCGGTAACAGATTGCATTAACCCTCCATATAGGGGGTAGAGCATCAAACCTCTCTAAGATATAGTATGCACTGTAAATGAAGGAGGACAATGAGGACAAGAAGTAAATGACTTGGATTTTCTTTGATTGAAAGTATGACCTCATGATTGAGCAAGTTTCCTGTAATCTACCATTAAGGAAAACAAAATCATAACTCACATTAGAGACAGAAAGCAATTTTTTTGCCAGAGACAGATCATGAAAAAGCATTCCTGGACAACACTGTTGTATTATCCACCAACAACTGGCTATCAGATATCATCAAGCCTCTGAGCAGCTATTGCCAGAATAAGCTGCACATCTCAAGAGAAAAGTCTCCGTGGGTCAGTGTTGTCAGTTTACCAAGGTATTACCAACGCACTGGTGATACCAGTCAGGTTGATCAACTGACATAAATTGGATCCACATGCAGTTTGTATTTTAAAAAAACCACCACATTTCAGGAGCCCAGAATTTTAGAATCATTGTTTCTAATAATTACTTAAGAATAACCAGTGACAATCTTGTCAAATCTGAGTAGTAATTTTAAGTCACATCATTACATATTTCCTTCTCAATTAAAAGGAAGCAGCAAAAACCTGCAGGGTTTACTTATACAGCTCACAACCTCATATTGCCCTCCAGGCAGTAATTCCTCTTCCTTTGTTTACAGGTATTGTGTTTTCTCAACACCATTCAGCCATGCTAACATCTAAACCATCCTACATTCACTTAGATCATTAACTTTTTCTAAGAGGTTCACAGAATATCTTTAGGCATGGACAAGCTTCATTTCCAGATGAACCTCCAATTTTCAGACGTGTAAGAGTCTTCAAGGAAAGTTTGAAAGTAAGTTTGAAATCACCTCAGGGATCAGTATCTTAACAGTGACTATGAACGTCAGTCATACACGTACTTCCACAGTTCTTAGAAATACACTAAATTCTTAAGCCTTGGAAATTTAAGTCTACAGACATCAAAAGCCTTCAGTCCTGCAACTATTTCACTCTGCAGAAATTAGCACTACTACCTCTTCTACAAACTTCTACCTAACAGAAACATGTTGCAGGAACACTCTGCAAACATTCAAGTATTCCTGTCTGCTCAGGTGTTGGATTTTTCTTTTCATATGGAATACTTCCATTTGAGCTCTCTTAGCCATCAAAGAGCTTTCCTTTCATTAGAACAAACAGGGCAGCACAAGTTCTGTTCGAAACCAGTTAATCTTGACTGCTACAAACAGCTGTAATGCAAAAAAGCAGCGAGCTGCAATAGATACGTCAAGAGACCATACCCACATGCTTCTAAGAAACAGTGCTTAAAACAATACAAAGAAAAATAAAATCACACCATAATCACTCTTACAGTAAAATGAAGCAGAGCCTTCTCTGCCTCTGCACTTAATCCATATTTAAAATTAGCGTATAGCTGTAAATCCAATTATTATATTTGGTAATTATAAAAGCTAGGTTGCAGCAATTACTTATGTATCACTTACAAATTTAGCTATGTAATATGAACAATTGCATTTGTTTTTGTCCAAAACCTAGATTTTAGATATACATTTGGATTAAATTCCCTTTATTTTGTGCATATTAAAATAACAAGTTATTTTATTGTGCATAATAAAATAACAAGTTATCTACCACAAACACTACTAACCATTTTTAGACTACACTTGACATTAAGTTCTCGTCTTAATCTATGTAAAAAAATCTCCCTTAAGGGCTTTATTCAGCTTTCCCTACCACCATACTATTAGCCCCAAATAGAAACTAACAAGTACTAATCACTCTTATTAATGAAGAGACTCTTAAAGGGCAAGCATATTTGGACTCATTTCTCTTTCTGGTCACATCAATGGTAGCATCGTGTTCCTACAAACATCTGTGACGTTTAAAACAGACACTTAACAATTCAGCAGTAGGATTAAAAAACCACTAAGACAGTGACAATATACTAAGTAATTCAACACTTCTTTGAAAGTCACACTGCCCTAATGGTCCGGGACAAGTTTGGGCACAAACACCAGCCAACAAATTTCACCCAGGAAAGACGGCTGTGTTTTTGCAACCAAGGAAACATCGCACACTTCAGGAACACACTGCAGCAGCAAAAGTGAACATTAAACAGTGCTGTAAGAAAAAGACAGAGGCCACTTGTTTCATAAGACTAGTGATGCATACTACCCTTAACCACCCTCATTTCCTAGGATACAGAATCCATACACTCATCCATAACAGTTATGTCTTTCCTTAAAGGAACAGTAATGCTAGGTAACAGAAAAGGCTGAATATACTTAAAAAACCAGCCCTAGCATTCAGGAAAATACTAGATCTCATGTACAATTATACCAACAAAATTAATCTATATGCACAATGACTGGTTATATTTATACAAACTACCCTCCTGCAAATAGCCTAGGGGCTAACATGTGATTTAAAAATGACAAGTACACTTTCAAAACTTGAGTATACCTACACCAGAACCTTACAACCTATTAGGCGGTAAGATTTCCCTGACCGCGTAGAGATGGACTAGAGCAAAGCCCATCCCAAATACTACCTTTTGGCATCGTTTCAGCTGTTAGTATGGGCAAATGTGACAATTTTATGCTTTTTCTTGTACAAAGATGCAATTTAAGCAGCTGCAGCTACGAAAACATTGAGGTAAGCAGGAAAATGGAGAACCATATGCAATTTGGAAGGCTGAGAAATGGTGCTACCAGCCACATTAGGTATAAATCTTTGGGGAAAGGCAGGGGAATGAGAACATCTTGGCACTACATGAAATCCACACACAAAGTTGCTGCACAACAGAGCTGCAGCAGAGAGAAAGAAGCCATCGTCACCTAATGAGAATTTAAAAGAGCATTTTTCAAGAATTTGAGAAGGTGACAGCTTTCACAATCCTCAGTTATAAACGCATACCCTAAGAGACTCAAAAGTCCAGATGTGTCTTTCCACCCAAGCAGCTACTTGGGGTGATACCCAGATTCCACTGTGGCCTTTGAGCAGGAGTCTACAAGAAATGCAAGACCCTCAACTCCATCTCCACCTCTAAAGATGTAGCAAAAAGTTTATGGCATATCATTCAAAATAAGCACTCCATTTAATCAAATTATCTCAAAGACGAATCAAATAAACAGATGAGTCCCATCCCCTTTTTCCTGTAATGGACAGTCTAAATGGGCATATAGATGGATCATTTCAGCATGAATTTGCCATTTCCATCTGGAAGCAAAAATAAGAGTTTTCACAACTTAACATTCCAGTATAACCAATCTTGCACTTTGTGAAACAAATTTAATATTTTTGTTTATTTTATTTTTAAATCAAACAGCCAGCAACTAAACAAAACAGAAATACACATAAGATGCTTTTCCATAAGCCTCGGAAACTTGAATGATTTTATAAGGAAACCACACTTTAAGAACAGTTAATAATATATGGCTTGATATCCTATCACAAAATCACATGGGGTTGGAAGGGACCTCTGGAGATCATCTATCCCTCAAAGGCCTATTTGTTTCAGAATTCCTACTAGTAAAATTTTAAAAATGGACACCCTCCCTCCTCTCTGTCTCTTTTTTTACCATAATGAAGCAATCTTAGGCAGACAAGACAAAGTCCTACGTCTAGAAGTCAGCAAATAACATTCTTCTATCTCAGCCCATGCTGAGCAGATATAGCCTAAAATACTTAAAAATATACAAAGCTGTCAAACTGTAGGAGAATCTGCTTCCTAAAATGGATTTAACTATCCCATAAAATGGCCAGCATTGTTCTTCCTGAACCGATAGCCTCCCCGGCGGACTTAAGTGTCACATCCCAATCAGTGGGCTGCCCTTCCAACAAACTGAAACAGATGCATCAAGCCCACTCCGTTCATTTCATTCATGCCTTTCCACCTACATTAAATTGTTTTGACAAGCCAGGACAAACAGCAAGGCTTCCCAGCACGTGACCCGTGGTTCTGCAGTGCCAGGGGCCTGAACGGAGACAGGCAGCAAGTGAAACAATTGTTCAGCTCTGAACAATTCAATAAGCTTTTCTTGGCTGTTTCCATTTATCCATGTACTTCCCTCTCTGATTTCTTTTGGTCAGGAAAGAGCTATCAGGGGTGTTTACATTATTCAATGTAAAACAGGGATTTTGGTCATTCGTGATAAACCAGGTATAGGATTACTCTTTCACTAATGTACTTAATTTCCAGGAGCATGAGTTACACCTAGAACTGTTACTAGCCTCCTTCTATGCTTGTACCTAAGTACCTTCCATAAATGCAAAAAAAACATCAACCCAAAATCAAAACAACCCCCCACCTTCCAAGATTAGCTATTACCGAGCCACAAAAAGCAAAGCTTATTCGCAAAAAATGCCTATATTCCTTTGGTGATTTTTTTCAGCCATGTCTAATATCTATTCAGCATCCTTAATGAGGGAAGAAAATACATTTCTGGCACCTAAATTATTCTTACATTTCATCTGGGCTGCTCACGTACCTGTTCAGGCTACTGAGTAATTTTGAATACATTTCCTTTCTAACTTTCCACAGTA